AAGTGAAGTGTAAAAAATTTAATTATTTTGTACCTTTAAAAAGCCTAATATTGCCATTACTTTTAAACACCATTTGAAAATTATATTTATTTATTCACTTAAAAAATTAGAACAAGAAAAAAGCTCTAAATAAGAAAAAAATTCGAAATAAATTAGTTTAGTTACACAAATTAGTAATACGTACTTGAACATTTCTTACAAAGAATTTCATTTCAATAATTGTAAGCTTTAATAATGAAAGATAAGATTCAATATCTTAAAGGAAAAGTGAAAAAATTTTGCTAAGTCATTTTATTTAACTTTAAAACTGATGCATTATTTGGTATCATAACTAATTATTTATTTAACAAATATAACTTTAAGCTATTGTAAAAAGTAATTATTACATTGATATTGTATTTACATCAAAAATAATGGTTGTTACACTAGAATATGGGACAAAAAATTTTATTATCGTAATTCAATAACACTTTTGTTTTTTTTCTTGCTTAAATAATATTTTGCAACCCCTCATACATTTTTCTGAATATATATTTCAATTTTATAAGTTGTTTGGTACATATACAGTGCGTAAAATAAAAAAGGGACCTCCCTGAATATCTAATGATTTATCAGATCTTCACGTTCTAGGAGTCAATCTTAATGGTTTGAGGCGGTGACTTCAAGTGTGCCAATTAATTGGTGCAAATGATATTTTAAGTTACGAAATTGGTCACGAAAACGTACTTTCTCCGAATAAACATAATTTTTTTCGACGGATTTGGAATCTTGACCCCCAAAATAGAAGGGGTAGCCACAATCTGAGAAATATGGTCATTATAGTTTGGCCAGGAGAACGATCCAAAGTTTGGACCCTCTAATGTTAATTTTATTTTTTTGTGTATTTCACCATATCTCGAGAAAGTTTTAAACGAATTGAAAAATCTTTACACACAGTTATAAAATTCGTTTATCCAAAGATAATTCTATGAAAAATATAATTTTTAGTAAATATTTATTATTTTATTTAATAGTGGTTGAAAATGTTTTGAATTGTTGTTTATAAAATTTTTTACATAGTTTTAAAGAATGTAATTTTACATGGCAAAACACAAAATTTGAACGAAATCGATCGAATAGTTTCCAAGAAATCGAATTTTAAAAATATTCGAATATTTAGAAAGCAATTTCTCAGGTACTATTCGACCGATTTTGCTTAAATTTTGTATTTTACAATGCAAAATTACATCTTTTAAAACAATTTAAAAAATGTTATACCTTACAATTTAAAATTCTTTTCGACTATTATTAAATAAAATAATTAAAAACAATAAATATTTACTAAAAGTCATATTTTGCGTGGAATTATCTTTGAATAAACGAATTTTATAGTTTTGTGCAAAACTGTTTCGATTTGCTTGAAAAGTTTTCGAGATATGGCGAAATAGGCAAAAAATAAAATTAACATTAAAGTCTCCAAAGTTTGGACCACTCTTCTGACCAAACTATGGGGACCATATTTCCCAGATTGTAGCTAGCCCCTATATTTCGGGGGTCAGAAATCAGAATCCGCCAAAAAAAAAGGTATGTTTATTCAGCGAAAGTACGTTTTTGTGTCTGATTTCGTAATTTAAAATATCATCTGTACTAATTATTTAGCATATTTTTGGACACTCCCTCTAACTATTAAGATTGAGTCCTAGAAAGTGAAGATCCGATCTTTAGATCAAAAGTTATTCAGCTGGTGATCCGTTTTCCTTTTTTTTAGGGGGGGGGGCACTGTTCACGTAAACTGTTTGTCGTATGTTTTGCTCCGGATTCTAAAAGTACATAATAAAAGCTTCCCTGTCATCCGTATATTTCTATTTAATCTTAACACTTTAGCAAAATATTTTATTTTTGATGATGGTTTCTGTAAATAATTATTAAAAAGCTATAAACAAATTACAAACATTAGAAAATTGCAAAATTTTTATACTTACTGTTATCCAACCTGTTTAAATATAACCAAATAATTTGTTATTAAACTGTGTTATCAAAAATAGAAACTTAAGGTTGCTAACCTGATATATTAGTGTCTTTTATAATTAATAGGCGTAAAATATTTAAAGTTTTGCCCTTAAAAATAATGATGTGCCTTTGATAATTGCATTTTTGAAAAAATAAGACTGCTAAGAAAGTTGTAAAAAATTTAAATGACCGTGTTAATTAAAATTTTTTGATTATCGTGAATTAATTTCAATGCCCAGAACTTTCAAATATTGACAGTAGTTATCTGATTTTGATTGTAAGAAGATATGTAGTCAAATTAAACTTGCCTAGCAACAATTTTATTTTGACTCTAGTTTGGCTCAAAATATCTCATTACGGGTCCCATATGAACATGCATTGAGGAACAATATTGGGATGTCTAGATTTTTTAATATTGGTCCTATATAGGGCCAATATCAGCCTTTATAAGACCACTATAGAGCCGATATTTTCTAAAAAATTATTATAAAATATCGGGTGAATCTGACAATTCTACATGGGACCAATATCGGAAAAGTAACGGAACTTTTAACCTTTATTGAGACAATATTCGTGAATATTGGTTCAATGAGGATCCAAGTTATTTTGCTGATAGGGTAGAAGCAAAGGTCTAATCAGTCATACTTGAAAGTTTTATGGCCTTATTTTTTTCTCTAAAATTTTAAAACAACGTTAATTTATGTCAGAATTTGTAAGATCGTGTGTAATGTATTGTGCTTATAACGGTCCCGCAGTTGACTAACGGTTTCCAGAAGATCACTGAAGTGAAGCATCATTAGCTGCGGTCAGTGGTGTTCACTTCGATCAGCCTGCTAAGCGACCGAAGGTGTGCGCTATTAATCCTCGCTACCGTAAAGTGCTCGACTTCGAACGTCGGGCTACCGAAGCAGAGGGGCCATTTCCTCTGCAGAGGTTTAAAATTGTGATGACATGTCTTCGGATCCTCCTCAGGGATGTTTCCAAAACCGTCAACATGACCCATTGTGTAGCTCCTGTGCCACGTAAATATACTACTACTACTACTGTGCTTATACCATTGCAAAATCATCAGCGATTGTTATCTTTTAATAGCTACAAAAAGTTACATTTATCACAGGTAATATATATGAAATTTAGATGATGAAACAATGATTTAAAATCATTTTTTCACTGTAATATTTCATTGTCACTGAATAATTAATACTGAGGTTTTATTAATTAGCATTAATACTGATTTGTCGGCAGAAATAAAGAAATGAAGATTGTAAATAACTCTAGGATTTATCATATTGTAAAAAAAATAATTAGAGTTATTCATTGCATTGATATTATTATCAGTAAATTGTTTAAAATAAGAATTATTATACATGCATCTGCAATGATTATTATACATCTACTCATAACTACTACTACTCCTAACTATTTCTACTACTACTACTCTACTACTACTTATAAATACATATATCTAACTATCACTAGCTTCAAGCCTTAACTTGAGGCACCATTTCTAACCTTCATTTTTTTTTTTTCAAAACAGTTTTATGTGTTCAAATTCAGAATATTTCAGTTTAACGTGCGTGACCTTTAAGCTCACCAGATCTCAAGGAAAGTATTTCTGAAATTTTACGTGAAAACATTGATGCACAAAAGATGCTTGTTAGTTGCCGGCAGGATTCGAACGAAGGAACGAAGGTCGTAGTAGAATACATCTACCTTCAAGGTTGTACACTCCAGTCCAAAGTGAGTTAGGAGACTTTATATAGTGGCGACCGCGACACATCATGGCATACATTCCATTCGCTTAAAAGTTTTTAAGATGTTGCAAATTAAGCAAAAAAATGAAATTAAAATTACTGATCACACGACTAAGCTATTGGGAGAATATTTTCAAAATTGCAATGCTTTGTGTCATTGAAGTTGGAAATTAGAATGTCATGTCATTGCGGCGGCCACTATATAAAGCTTCTCAACTTTCTCTGGAATGTGCTCAACAACTATGACAGTTAGAGCATCTAATTACAATCCCGGAAGTCCTTGGTTCGAATTCTACCGGCATCCAACTAACATTTCTCTCTCCACATGACTTTAGAGACTGCGCATTTTGCTCAAAAAGGAGTATAGATTGTTTCAATTTTGAATACATGGGTTTTCAAATTCGACTATCTTTGTTTCGGAGATATTTCAACGCATTTTTGCTCAATTTTAAGAGACCGTATTTAACAATCTATATTTCTTACATGTTACCAATAAGTTATTTCCTTGAACGTCCAATATTTTAATACATTTTTGATCAATTTTAAGAAACCGTATTTTACAATCTATATTTCTTACATGTTACCAATAAACTATTTCCTTAAACATATGTGCGCAAGAAAATACATGTAATTGAAAACTTAACATTATAATCATTTCAGCAACTTAAAATTGATTTTTTTACGTGTACTTATGAACCTATTTGTTATGAAAGTTCTGAATTGTTCTTCCATGTGATCAAGTGACAAAGGTATAAATTTTATTAATATTTTATCAATTAAAGAAAATTCTAATACATATTATATAGCACTGAAATTTTCCTAAACATTCTTTGCTGAACTTATGAAAAGTCCATATTAGGATTTAATATAATTTTCTATAATATTTTATAAATTCAGTGAAATTCTAGTACATATTATTATAGCATAGAAGGTTTCCTAAATCTTTTTTGTTGAACTTATGAAGAATTCATATTGGGATTTAATAACCCTCCTATGCAAATTTGACTTATTTAAGAGGTGAACACATAAGATAGATAATTAATCAGGTCGAAGGTTTCGCTATCTTATTATATAGGATAAATATGGTTCTTGATAATTGAGGTCGAAAACGACGGGTAGTATATTTATTTACAAGGCTGTTCAACTTGACAGGTTTCTCTAGTACTATTTGCACTTCCTTTTTCGTTAACATCTTTCAAATATTCTAAATGTAGAAATACTTTTAATTTTGTTTTTAGTGTTTTCTTTTTTTTTCAGGAACAACGATATTTTCCATAACAGCATCAGAAAATAACAAAACCTCATTAAAACTATTTGAATATTTTGAAACTGCTTAGACAAAAGCATTTCTCCACGACGCAATGCACCGATTAGAGTGAGTTTGTGTAAATAATTTAGGACTTCCCATATTTTCAGAGGACAGCAAAAAAAACTAAATAAAAATATGTAGAAAAGAAGACAGCAACCTTTATATATCAACGTGTAAGTATTTTCATTAAGAGAAGAAAATAAAATTTCTAACTTTAAATATCAGTATTTAATAACCCTCGTGAAAAAAAATGTTCGAAAAAGATTATTCTGATAACACTTTATATGAAATGTATCCAACAAATCTTCCTTTCATAAATTTTTCAAACATGATATTGACAATTAATAACAGTTTCGACGAAAATAAAACAGAGAATTCAACAGTGTATGTACCATACGTAGAAAGAGTTGAAACATATATGGTCCCAGCTGTTTTTGCAATCGTTTTCATAGTTGGTCTATTAGGAAATGGCACTTTAATCAGTATTTTTCTGCTGCACAAAAGCATGCGAACAATCCCTAACACTTACATTATGAGCTTAGCAGTTGGAGATTTTATTTTGCTGGTAGGTACTGTTCCTTTCATAAGTACTATTTATACTTTTGAAAGTTGGCCGTATGGAGAATTTATTTGCAAACTTAGTGAATTTTTGAAAGATGTTTCAATGGGTGTAACAGTGTACACTCTGGCAATGCTTAGTTACGACAGATATGTCGCCATTGTTAAACCAATGAAAAAACATACTGGCAGGAATGCCAAAACCATGACTATTCTAGTCGCTTTTGGAATTTGGATTGTTTCTATCATTTTAGCAATTCCTGGGGCATATTTTTCTTTTATCTGGGAGTACTCTGTTAAAAAAGAGCATACAATATATGTTTGCTATCCTTTTCCACATCATTTGAGGCCCTGGTATCCCCGTCTCGTGGTCCTTACTAAATTTTTATTGCTTTATGGCATACCTTTGATTCTGATTGGCTCTTTTTACGTTTTGATCGCCTGGCATTTAATTAGAAGCTCGAGGAATAATCTTGGACAAAATCCAAGTCACGTGAAGCAGCTACGATCTAGAACAAAAGTAGCAAAAATTGTTTTAAATTTTGTTGTTATTTTCGCAGTCTGTTTCTTTCCGAGTCATATATTTCTTATATGGTATTATTTCGATGAGAATCCTAATGATCATTATAATGAGTATTGGCACTGTTTTAAAATAATTGGATATGTTTTAACATTCGCTAACAGTTGCTTGAATCCTATAGCACTCTATTTTATCAGCAGTGTATTTCGAAATTATTTTAAGCGGTACTTATTTTGCTGTTTTTGTAAACCAGTCGAAATAAGAAGGGAAACTCTATCCGCGCATAGCTCTGCAATTGTGAGGAGAAATATTGTAGTTGCATTAAATGAGGTGTAACAAAAGAATTAATTTCCATGTATTATATCTATTTGTTGTGATTGTACTGTGAATTAATGTTCAATGTTATAAAAATTAATGCGAGATTGTATACTGTGAATTAATATTTAATATTATAAAAATTAATGTGAGATTGTATGCTGTGAATTAATGTTTAATATTATGAAAATTAATATGAGATTGTATACTGTGAATTAATGTTTAATATTATGAGAATCATTATGAATAATGTAAAGCAAAAAATAAATCTTTAAAATATGCGTATGTCATCATTTGTGTTAGATGTATTATGCTATCGCACATATGTAATCGAAGATTTCCCAATAGAGTTTTGGGAGCCATGGTGGCTCAGGGGATAGAGTGGCCACCTTCAAATAAAGGTGAACCGAATCCCGACAATAGCTGGTTGATTTGAATTGCACACCCGGCTCTCACCGACCACAGTGATAACGTAAAATATTCTCAGTGGTAGACGGATCAGAGTCCCCTTGCCATCAGGCTAAACATGGGAAATTTTCGTGGTTTTTCTATCCATGCAACTGAAATATGGGTTAATTCCATCAAAAAAATCCTCCACGAAAGCAAATTTCGTCCAAAACTTGATTCAAGAGATCTTCTGGATTGGGTTCAAATTTATAAGGATACAGAATGGAACATTGGTAGTCGTTAACTGAAAATTCAGTCTGCTGTTCAATGAAGGTTATAAAATTAAATATGAAATATAGAGTTTTGCAATCTTTATAAAAAAAGTAGAGTTAAAACAACATAAATTAAAAAAAGGAGTCAAATAATACTCTTAAATCAGTTTAGAATCACAAATAATAATTTATTAAAAGAAAAAAAAATCTAATCACAATCTTACGCATCAATATCGAGGCTCGTAGAAGCGAAAAAAAAAATTAAAAGCATCAGAAGTCAGTTTGTTTAAGAAGAAACTAAATGGGAATTCCTAGCAAGGGGCAAACATATTTTAGTCTTTACCTTGATAAATGACCTGGTATTGATTAATTTAATTCCTCCCCTGTTCTCTAAAGTTGAAGATGATTCTTTAGATTTCTATAAGGTTGCAGCATTATTAAGTTTTTTTTAAGCGCCAAAAAGCAGAGAAAGTTAGCATCTCTATTAAATATTTATTAAAAAAAAGAGAAGATAATTTAAATCAAATTTTTAATCAAATTATTATAATTTAAATCAATGTTGTCGAAATAAAAAGTCAAAATTGTCTAGCTGTCTAAATTAGGGAAGTAATAGTGCTTTATTACATACTCGAATTTCTTTTAGTAATTTCTGAAAATTATGAACCCCCCTCCGCCTTGAAAAAATTCTGCGTACGCCACTGCCATAGATTAACATACAAGAGCAATAGAAGTGAAATTTCACTACAAGATATACTTAACTGCTTTTTTATTACAACATTCACCTTCATTTGTTTATAAACTAGTTTTTTCTCTCTCTAAAGTTGATTAATGACAAACGAAGAAAGAAGTCTTTTGTATTTCCAAATATTTGTTTAATTTTTTTTTTTTTTTTTTTTTTTTTTTTTTTTTTTT